TTATACGAACTTTATTGAGCGTTGTTTTGCTTCTTTTCCAATTTCAGTCAGTTCTCGCATCGACATTTTCATCAATGACCACTGCCATCCCACCAATTTGGATCTGGGTGTTGCTGCCTTAACAACTTTGGAACATTCAGATCGCTCCCAATTCCTAGACTACTTTAGTGCTCACTCAGAAAAGCTACTATAAATCGCACGCCCAACCACCAAGTCGACGCAGCCTACGTAGCGAAAGATTCAGAGTTAGGGAACGACATCACCATTCTGAAAACCGCTTTAAAAACATGTCCCACAACAGCCCAGAAAACGGAAAATGTTGCATTGCATAAAAATGGTGCAAAACTAGCAAGAAGGGACCTCTTCTTTTTGCGCGTCACGGTAAACTGCGCGTGCAACTGCGGCCTAGACCCACAAGTGTTGAAGAAATCGTAAACACCATGAAAGGAGTACTACACCGCACAACACCATTTTGGGACTGCTAAACACCTACTTCTGCATTTTTTCTCGCTTTAACACTGATCGTGTTGCTGCGAGAGCTGCTATTCATTTAGAAATACTGTACGACAAACGAGGTTGCGAACAAGAGAAAGACTCTCTTTTATTACAAATATTTAGAAATAATAATACACGACTAGTTTTGAATAGGAAATCGTTCAGCAATAGTTTTCCAAAATAAATAAAATCTCAATTCTTGAGCCCGTTGCCACTTCCAAATGGCTTCAATAAAATGGTAAGTCCACAACGTTCCCTTCAATCCATTTTTCTTCTCCACTGATCGCTTAATCTGAGAACAAGCTGCTTCAATGCACTGCGTATGTACATCATTCGAAGGATCCACAAAACTGAGCGAATCGTTGACGATTTCGTGTACATAACCAATATTGGCTAAGTTCTGGTAACCATGCCACGAGTCTGTTCTTACTGTTGTACCAGGCAGCACGTTGCGAAGCAAAACCTCGTCCAGCGTTGGGCCGTCCGGATTGCTGATTCGCATGAAAGGAATTGCTAATCAAAACGAGATGCTTTTCTAGCGAAAATTTTATAAACATATATCCTCGTGATTGGAAACATTATAAATGCATATGAAATCCAAAATTGCTTCAATTTTTGCAAAAAAAAATCTAACCAGGAAAGGTCATTAGGGGAATCCCGAAAACGAAATAAGGTGCAGCGAAAATGCCTGGCGCCTGCGCTACAAGCGCCCGAAAGTAGTGAGGAGCGATGCCGCCCAAATTCGTTATTAATTGCCCTTAAATTCTTTGTACTGTTAGTTATACGCAAGCATGTTGGACTAGCGATGTTAGGAATCAGCGGCAAAAGAGAAGCTCGCCAAGGAGTCGATCCCCTGACCTCTTTTTCGTGAGCCTCGACCACTGCCCCTGCGCTTTTCTGCTTCATAATTCCTTTCAGAGAAGAGTTTAGCAGATAAGGAAAGCATATCTGAACTCAGCGTCCCAAGGCGCACCAAAC